CATCACGGAGAGTCCGGAAGGCAAGTAGAGTGATGAACATTTAGTGAAGTCAAATTGCAAGTAGAGTTTGTTAATGGATTTAACATTAAAAGTATTCATATTATTTTATTGTCATTAGAATATATTTCTAAATATATTTTATAAATATAATTAAGTAGATCATCATGTCATCAAAACTGTTAAATTTAGTGAGAAAGGCATTTATAATTTTAAATTTTATCCTTATTTTTTCATTGAGGAGGCCAATAAATTTATGGTTATATTAGTTCTTATAATTCATCTTTAGTGTTATTCAAACTATCTTTGATGGAATTAATGGACTTATCCCTAACTATTTGGACTTTAACATGATTAATAAGATCACAGCCAGAGCAAAAGTTATCTCATACTAGTGAGGAGTAGAATGAACTAATAGACCTCCAAGAATACTCATTGAAGTAGCTCAGGTATTTAATATTATGCATTGTAATAACTACAACATAGTCAATATACACATACATCTATTGACATCAATTTGATATTAATTATACACGTAAAAGCTCTTCTTGATACGCCACTAACACATTTTCATCATCCGACACGAATCTCGAGGCAAGACACGAATCTCAAGATTATATTTTAAGCAGGAAACATTTAAATCTTGATAAAGAGCCATCTAGAGCTCTGATTTAAACAAACTTATGTTCAAACTGATCAGCTCGATGAGACGGACCTAATGATATGAAAGTCAGTCCAATCTGAGTCAAATCAAGCCCGGATCAAATCATTAAACAACACTTGGAGGATTTCCGGAGGCATTCGAAAGGTCAAACGAATGTCGAATTTAGCAAGTTTATAGTCGAATTTAGCGTCTCGACAAGACGAATCAACAAGTCCAAGTTTGATCAATTCTGGAATCGTTAAGGAAATCAAATGTCCATCAAACGTCAATCGATCAAGGGAAGCTCTTGGACCGTCCGATCAAAATTGTTCATATTCCAGCATTAATTGCACTCAAAACACTATAAATAGAGCCTCACCCCTCACATGAAAGGGGGGAGGCTGGAGAGAGAAATTGAGGTTTTGAGAAAGAGCTCAAGTCGAAGATCATCCTCGCCATCGTCGGTCGCCGTCGACCACCACTAACCGTCGACAATCACCGTCGACCTCCGTCGACCACCGCCGACCGCCATCAATTGTCGACCTCCGTCGACCACCGCCGACCGTCATCAATTGTCGTCAACTACCATCGACCACCGCCGACCTCCGCCGACCACCGCCGACCGTCATCAATTGTAGTCAACTACCATCGATCATCGCCGACCTCCGTCAACCACCGCTGAATAGACATCGACAGTCGACGTTGTAATTTGGAAAGCTACTAACCCTTTCTCGCCTGTGGGACAAGGGTCATCTGTAATCATCAACTTATAGTGAAATTTTACAACTGTGCCAGGTCCCGTCGTTTTTCCCCTTTACTGGTTTTCCACGTAAAAACTTCTGGTGTTATCACAACTTAATTCATTTTCATCTGAGTATGTGCTGAATCCTCGCGCAACACTAAGACGATAATCCATTACTCTACCGCCGCAAATTTTCTAGCACACATCACTTCTATTTTATAGGACCTATTAACATTATTTTATTAAATTTAATGTAATCTATATGAATTTAACAATGCATAATAATAAGTAATCTTAAAAGAATCTAAACAGCACAAAAATATGACGGATCAATAAAATACCATATAAATCAAAATAAAATTGTGCAATTAAATTTAAAATATATCACTAAATAGTAACACGCACACTTACGCAGAACATAATGGTTGTGAGAGTAGTTTTTCACCGTGAGGTGACGGTTCAAATCATGCATATTGCTCTTCGGGGTCTCTTTTGAAAATAGAAAAAAAAAAAAAAAAAAGAAAAAGTAATAGTCTAGAAGAAACTAAATGTTATCATAGAGTAAAAATAAAAGTAAGCTGGAAAACCAATCTTCTATTCTCACTTTGTCTCCTTGAAATCTTTATGAAAATTTTCTTCATAATTAAGTATATGTCTAGTTTGTCTCTTATGCCTATACCAATGTTTGTTCTTTAATTCAATATATACTAACCAAAACATAAATCCTAATATTCTCATTATTATTTATTTATTTATCTAAACATAATAAATACATTTCCACTAATATATACATAATACATATATATATATATATATATATATATAAATCAATATTAAAAATAAAAAATCCAACCACACTACTTCCTTTGAATGAACTCTTGGTCAAGCTCGATCGCTTATCTCCTGCCCTCGCGAGATCGTTTGTTGGCCTTCTCCTTTGCACTCTTATGCTTGAGACCGAAGGATGATTGAGTCGCAAGTTTGCGAGAAGTCAATTGCTGGAGCTCGCATCCCGCAACTTTTAATTCTTTCTCCTTCACTTGCTCATGGTTTGCCTCCTCTACTCCTTCCTATAAGACACACATGAAAGGTCTCTGTATCACCTCCCAAGCATTTACTTCCTGCAAGCGGCATCCTTCCTTGCTCGACGGGTTTCCATGCATGCCATGTAGTAGACATTATGCTCTAGAAGCTATCGACTTCTCATCGCTTTTCTCCTTTGATGGCCTCAACTTGGCGGAGCTATCACCCTTGATTTCATTCAGTGATGTCACCTCTTGCACAACTGCTCTATTTCACGCTCCTCTTTAATTCTCTTCTAGTAATGTAGACTTCGAAAATGGGGGTTTTAATCTTCATAACTATAAAATGTTCCCGCACTTCACACCATAATTGTAATGCTAATGTTCTACATAATCTAAAATAGAGTTAACAAACACACCCGAACAAAATAAGATGTTAGAGAATTTTTTACATAGAGTTGAAACTCCTAAAAATTACCAATAGAAGTAGGTTATTTTATTTCCTCTAAAATAATCCCTCTTGAATATTGATGCATCAAAAGTTATTTCATATGATATCATGGGGAATCAATGAGGCAAGGATAGGTCAATTCCACCAAATCATACTAAGAATTACGACTTTACAAGGTAGTATGAGAGAATGGGTTAAATTAAAATTATATATCGAGAAGATCTTAATTAAATAGTGTTGGAGAAATATTATCAATATGATAACAAAGGGCCTTGCATGTCGGCCATCAAATTGACTAGCACTAACTTACTATAAACTTTGTGGTAGGCAAAATCCAATAACATAAGACTTTGAGTTTAATATATTGTCATCCGGCGAAAATGTCTCTCAAAGTCACAAACAAGAGTTTTAACTAGTTAGGATATGCTATCCTTGATTGATGGATTGATTTCTAGCATAATTAGTATTAAAGCTTGGGGCTCCATTATGAAATGAATTATTCTTATCAGCTAATGGATAAGTGTTTATTGAATGGTGGGTCTACTCCTTTAAAAAAACATTAGAATATTGCATATTAGATTTTTTACATTGATTCGTGCATGCTTATATTAGGAAATTTTATCAAAGGAGTAAGATTTCTTACATAAACAAATTTGAGCAGGAATAAAAATCATGGAACCAACCATTACTAGATTAATATACTATATATATGAAGTTTATGTAGGTCTAACTTCCTCCCAGTGGAAGAAGATATAATTACAAAATATGGATTGCTAGCTCAATCTCATGTGAATATAGTGGGAACTAGTTATAGAGCATAGATTGATGTCAATGCCAAATGAGAATAACGAATGTTACAATAGATATTACTATTGTTCGGTAAAGGTTAAATTTTTGTTGAGCGGTGATGATAGAGTGACAAAGATTGCTAATGGTGAGCTTCACCATTAATTATAAAGCATTTATTTAAATTTCTTGAAATATTTAAGCTCTCTATAATTTCAAACCTTTTTATATAGAAAATGTGGATACGTTTCTAATTTTTAAAGTGAAACTTTAATTATATTGATTAATATTTGTAAACACTTCATAATATGGTCGATAACTATTCCCTTGATCATGTTCATTAGTAAGACATCTACGTATCTTAATGATATTAATTTTGAGTAGTTTTGAGCTTGTTCAATTATTGTCATTGATATGCTCATTTTGACTATAAAAATAATATATTAATAACTAATTTAGGCCATCAAATAATATCATGATATTTTGCTTAAGATGATTTTAATGTCATTGAATCACTCTTATCGATATGTTTGCTTCAACTATGAATTTGCTAAAAATGAAATTCATATTATCTTGAAGTAGTCCCTAAAATTCTTGTTTTAATACCTGCATCAACTCGATTTGTGTTGGGTTGGTGATTTTCAATTGATGTATCAATTATATTACTGATTTTTTATGTGACTGATTTTTTTTAAACTTAATAGATTTGGATGATTTAACATTTTAAAAAATTATAAAATTTAATTTGAATTTATTCTATTTTATAAAAATAAAAATAAAAAAAATTGCTAAAAACTATTAATTAAATTGTTATTTTAATAATCCAATAGAATTTATAAAATCAGTGGCCGATTATTAAATTTTGCCCAAATGATAACCATTATTAAATAGTTTTCAAATGTGTGGTTTGGTCTGGAATGTCAAAAATTAATCGGCTAACTCAACTCAAACTCAAAAATTTAGACTCCGGTTAGTCCAGATAATTTTTTGTGTTAGATTTGCGTCAAAAACAACAATACAATTGATCCTTTGGGCCCGAGTTGATCCGTCAATCTAAAATTAACGTAAGTTAGACCTACAATACAATTGATCCTTTGGGCCCGAGTTGATCCGTCAACAATACAATATGAAACTAATCAGAAATTAACTCAAATTTGACCTAAAGTTACTCAAAACTGACTTTCATGTTGGTATTTGGCTAATGTTGGTCGAATTCGAGTTAATCAAGTTGAATTACTATTTTTTAAATATAACCCAAACCCGACCGTTGATCCGAATTTGCGGGCCCCATCTACCTGAGTGTGGGCTCCACAACGATTATGTGAGCGTTATTGGACAATCCCAAAGGGGTGGGCCCATCACAAGACGGTGCTCTTTCGGGGGAAACTTTTCGGGGAGGGGACGAGAGAGAACGGAGCCGCGAGCGCTTCCCGGTCTCCTGCTCTCTCCTCCGAGAGGGAACCCCATCGTAGTTTCTATCTCCTTCTCTAGTGTTTGTCGCACTCTCTCTCTCTAGCGTGGAGAGCGAGGGAGGCTTTCGTCGGCGACATCCAAGGCCCGGAGAGCGAGGGAGGCTTTCTGCTTGATAGAAGAAGAAGGAAGCTCCCATTGCTTGTTCGGTAACCCTTCATCCATCCTATTTTGTGCCGGGTTCTGGCACTTGATTTAGGGTTTGTTAGCGGGAAGAATCTTTCTTATTTGGTGATTTTTGACGATTTGTTTTTTTGTTAATTTCGTTTCCTATTTTGGTCTTTGATATATATGCTTTCTTGGTTGTGGAAGTGGAATGCTGCTGCAATCTGTTGCCATACGTGTATTACGGTCGGAAGTTTCCGTTTCTTTTTTTTTTTTTTTGATGTGATAACAATGAAGAGGTGAATTTGAGAGCAGTTGATGCTGTTGTGTATGCGAGTTAAAATGTATGAATGAACATTATATGCCATCTGTTATACTGATTACAAATAAAATGAGCTATTACAAATTCATTAAAATAAAAATTATTTAAAAGAATCTATTAATGACAATGATAGTAATTGATGCCACTAATGACAAATAAAATGAGTTATTGCAAATCACTAAAATAAGGAAACAAATAATGGAACATATTTTTTGGCAACGACAATAATTTGTGAATTTGGAATATTTTGATATCACTAATGTGCCCTCTCAAAATGGAGTTCATGGGATGAGCGCCGATCTTGACAATTCACCAGGTTAGTTGTGGGAAAGAGGTTTCTTCAAGGCTTGAACAAGTTGATATTGGATGAAACATGAGTGATCTGAAGAATATCTTTCTGAATTGTCTCGGGCAAAATGAAAGTCAATGCGATGTGATTTACATGCAAAAGAAACATCGGATTGGCATACAAATTGTTGCACAAACATTGTCACAATAAATGGTTGGTGAAACAGGAATAGTACCATCAATTCTTGGAGAAACTATCTGACCCGAAATATTTTGGAGTAGGTAGGGATGATTGTTCTACTATCATGACAGAATAGTGTTTCTTTTAACTCTTAAGATTTTTTGTTAAAGAATAAGAAAATAATATAAGCTCTAGTGGAATAATTGTCATCGATATTTCTTGCTTAGTAATTATCAGAAAGGCAAGTGATGTGAGAGAGGAGGCTCTGTTGAGAAAAAGGCTATATGGTATTATGCCATGTAAACATCCAAGTAGTTGTTTAACTGTGGCCTAATGGCTGAATGTTGGGCGACACATAAGTTGAGAAAGCTTGTTGATGGTGAAGGCTACAGCCTGCTGATTGAGTGCAAGATATTGAATGGCAAAAACATTAGATTTATGTATTGTTACACTTGGGGACATTTACATTGTTATAGCCTTGACATTGTTCACACCTGATATTTTGTAGAAGAAAAATACTTTAATGTAGTATTGATTGGATGTTGGTTATAATTATTTGAACATGACTGTCACAGCATCAAGTGACCATCAACTCCACCACATATACCTAAACAAACATGTTGAGTTGTTGGTGGCAAAGAATGAAAAATGATGACAAACTCGTGATATAGCAAAAATTGATAAAACTACTAGCACCGTGCTCATGGTCTTGCTTGAGACTATAAAATGCTTTCTTAAGATGACAAACATGATTGGAAAAATTATTGTCAATGAACCCTATCAAAGTTTTGAGAAAAATAGACTGAATACTGAATAGGCTCGATTCCTTTTCCCTTTGCTTTCATTCCATTAAATAATAATCTTACAAGCTATTTTTGGTACAAAATAAAGTGCATAATCTATTTTAGATAACTTAATAATATATATTCCTAATCTAAATATTCAGCTAAAAGGGAAATAAATCATAATAAAGATATTGGAAATAATTTAAATAAGGAAGCTCCTAATTATAGAAAACTCCTAATTTAACTGTATGATTTTCGTCTTTCTTGATTGACATCCCCCCTCAAATTGATGTTGACTGATAAAAAATCATCAATTTGCCAACTAGAAACTGATAACATTGCCAATACCAAAAATCCTCAAGCAGTGAGTGACGAAGCCGAAAGCGTTGAAGCCTGAGAGTGTTGAACTCAAAAGTGCCGAAGCCTAAGAGTGCCGAAGCCCAAGATTGCCGAAGCCGGAGAGTACCGAAGCCTGAGAGTGTCGAAGCCTGAGAGTGTCGAAGCCAAGAGTGCTAAAGCCCGAGAGTGCCGAAGCCCGAGAGTGCTGAAGCTCGAGAGAGCCGAAGCCAAAAAGTGCCGAAGCCGAGAGTGCCGAAGCCCAGATTGCCGAAGCCGTCGGGTCTAGGAAGGAGTGCTCAAGCCTTCAATTCTTGAGTGCGACAAAGAAGCCGAAGTCTAAGCGGACGAAGCCGAAGCAAAAGAAGTAGTCGAAAATGCCACAGAAGTAGAGATGGCTAACGAAGGAGATCTGACGAAATAATGAGACGACGAGCAGACGAGCGAGAATCAAGACAAATAAATAGTTTCTCCCTTTCCGTCCTGCTAGAAGGCCGACGGGAAGAGAGTCTTGACGGTACTTCAACAATTATCGGTGGTTAGGGCAAAAATTTGGCTCTGATACCATGTCAAAGTTTTGAGAAAAATAGACTAAATACTGAACAGGCTCGATTCCTTTTCCCTTTGCTTTCATTCCATTAAATAATAATCTTATAAGCTATTTAGGTACAAAATAAAGTGCATAATCTATTTTAGGTAACTTAATAATATATATTCATAATCTAAATACTAAATAATCTAAATATTCAGCTAAAAGGGAAATAAATCATAATAAAGACATTTGACATAATTTAAATAAGGAATCTCCTAATTACAGAAAACTCCTAATTTAACTGTCTGATTTCCGTTTTTTCTGATTGACAAATCCTATTGGTTTGGACATATAAACATCCCATGAAGAATTCCATGTAAGAAGACATTATTTTGGTCCAGTTGACAAACAAGCCATCCTTTGGGTAGGGCAAGGCATAAGATAATGTGAATAGTGGCTCAATTTATATTCGAAATGAAGGTTTCTTGATAATCAATGTCAATACATTAATGAAAGCCTTTGGCAACAATATAGGCCTTGTAGTGTTCAATAGTGCCATTACGATTATGCTTGGTATAAAACACCCATTTGCAACTTTCTAAAGTGTGGGGTGAAATAAGTGTGAATCAGATCATCAAAACGTGTATGTCATTGCATGTCACTATTTAAGTTTTTTGAGATCTTATGGGGCGTAGTTGGGGTGAGAAGAGAATTTCATGTGAAGAGAGTTTTTCGGGTTGGTTCTAATAATATTGTTTTTGACGTGAGTTTATATGGGATGGTGAGGTTGGTCAGTAGGTGATTTGGCTAGTGATAAAACATTGTGGTGGGATTTGTGTTGATGGTTGTCATGGGAACATTTGTGGAAGTTACGGTTGACGGTGGGTTTAAAGTATGCAAGGAAGGTAATGATGTGTTGCGGTGAAGAAATAAATGTGGAGTTTGAATACAAAATATCACTTGCTTAAGGAGTAGTGATTTGTAAGCTTATTTTTGTAGAGGTATATATAGGGCTGTTAACGATCCGATTTTTAGCGTTGCTAGGCTCGGGTCAAAATCGGCTAAAAAAAATGAGATCCAAATTTTTGGCTCATAACTCGGGTTGTTTATTTCAATCCGATCTCGGTTCGAGCCAAATTTCTAATCGATTTTCAAGCGATTAAGAATCTTAAAGTTAAATTTGCTAAATTCATAGACTTAAGCTATTAACGATTTGATTTCAAGCCCGAGCTGGGGTTGGCTCAAAATCGGCTCGAAAGAAATTAGATCCAAAATTTTGGCTCGTAGCTCAGCTCTTTTATTTCGATCCGATCTCGATTCGAGCCAAACTTCGAATCAATTTTCAAGCGATGAATGATCTTCGAGCTAAATTCTTAGCCCTAGCTGTACATCAAAATGAGGAGAAGTGAGTTGGGCATGTTCATTCCTTTTATTAACTGCAATCATAAAGATTTCTAGAGGAAGATGATTGAGGAGTAGGGTTTGGGTAATTAGTTATATTGTGTGATTATGGGATTTTAAAAAATTGGTGGCTATGTTGGAGTGATTTTTGTGACTTGTAGAGGAGGTGAGGTGGTATGGGTGACTAGACCAGTGGAGGGAGAGTGCTAGGATAGGGAAGAGGGAAATGGAATAGTGTTTATTTGAGCTTTTGTGGGAAAAATATATTCAATAATGATTGTAAATATTTTGTTAATGACAAAGTGGTAATATTTGTAAGCACTTTATATTAGAGGATATTCTATAAAGATGCTTGGTGTGGAGTGAGACTCAAGTTTGTGGGAGGTGTATGATTGAAATTATGGATAGCATAAGCATCCACTGATGCTTTGTTTGCTTAGGTTTGGCGGACCAACATAAATTTTTCAAATGAGGATAGCATAGATAATGGGATATTAGGCATGTAATTGATTAAGAAGACCAAAAATTTAAACACATGCGACTGAAACATGAAAGGAAAGGAGTCATGGGAGAGAAGATATTCTGATTTGACATTGTGTATGTTGCCGCTCAAAAAATGCATTACATTTGGGCATATGAGGTGGGGTGTGAGATGGAAGATGCCATGTTGGGTTAGAATTGTAGTCATTGCTTCAATTCATCGCCATCATCACTATATTAGAGTCATTATGGGTATTTCGGCAATGGCTTTGAATAATAAAAAAAATATTCTGGACATTAGATTTTTTTTTTTTGAAGTGAATTTTGCAAATTAAAACGAGTAAAGTGATCAACAAAGATTACATAATTTTTGTAATTATTATGGGATTAAACATATGAGCTATATATGTCTTAGGAGATAAGTTTCAAGGGGCTTGATCAAATAGAGATGAAATTGAAAGCAAAATTTTGTGACCATTACTAATTGGCCAGCATTACATGAAAATAAAAAAATATATCATTTTTTATAGATTAAATGAGATAAAATTTTCTAAGAGGGATGATCAAGATAAGACTTCTAATTTGTTGTTGAGATTTTAGTTAATGTCAGAGAATGCAATTAATGAATGTTTGTTTGAAGTATGAGGCAACAATCTATGAATATCATATTATTTTTCTAACCTTGCATAGGAAGATTCAGACATCAATTCAATAAAACATTGTAGTTTTGGCAGAATTAAGAAACTAAAATTATATTATATTGTATAGCAGGGACACAAAATATTAAATGAGTAAAATTTTCATTGATGAAAAGTAAAGAAAGTGGAACTCATATGAGTAATTTTGAGCTATACTCAATGGAAGTTTAAGACTTTTGCAATGTTTATTGTGGGAAAGATTTTCATGTTGCTATTATAATTATGTACGACTCGACAAACATGAAAAGAGAAATATTCCCATCAGAATCATCACAATCTATGGGCTTTGAAAATTTATGCTTGGCTCTCTCTCGAGAGTTATGTGATCTCATTTCAAATTTTTAAAAGACATTAATTTTCAGATAAGATACTACCTAGAGGTTTTGCCCTGCCCTCATTTTACGAGTTTTTTATGATGTTGTTCAAAATTTTCCAAAGGTGCAAACTCTTATAATTAATTTTCCCTCTTAGTGATTAGAGAAATTTTTATTAAGGCTAGTTATTTGGTGAGACATGTTTAGCTTTTAGAAAAAGTTTAGATTTTTTATTTTAAAGAAAAAAAACTTTTAGCTTATAGTGGATAGTGTGGGAAATTTTGACAAATTTGATAAGTATCTCGTTGTTTTATCATTTAAGATTGTTGTGGTTCTTCTTCTACTCAGTTAAAAGAGGTAGTCAACCAAATCTAATTAAGAATCACTCTTAATAATTATGGGTTGCATTCTTTAAGAATAGTTTATAGATTTGAGGTGCTTGTTTTGTATAGACCTTAACTAATAGACGACGTTGAGCCTTATTAAGTCCACTCTGTGATTTATAACTCAAGAGGCTAAGCCTTTGGGAAACATTCGTATTTTAGACATGATCATAATTTAACGTGCAATTTTATTATAAACAGTTGTCGGCATTTGTTTCTCCCTTTGAGGGTTGTATCTGAGGGATTAAGTGGTGCTCCAGCTGTATCTCTCTCCGGAGGTGGTGATTATTTTCCCCTATCCCCTTCTGCATCCTCCCACATCGCTGACTGCCGCCCCTTCCCTGTTGCAGCCGCTCGGAACAGCTTCTTTTGACTGTTTCCTACAGTTTCTGCTTTCCAGCTGCCTTCCCCACCCCTTGGCTGCTGTTCCAGCCGCTCATATCCAGTTCCATTGCCACTGTGCTGCTGTTCCGGCCACGAAAAACGCCCCTTTATAGCCTTGGCTGCTGTTCCAGCCATTCCAAACCACTTCACTGCCACCTAGCCACTCTCCCAGTCCGTCTCACGTGCTGCCATCACTGTTCAAGTCCTCCATATCCGCTGCCATCGCTGTTCTAACCCTGCCCCTTTGCTACCATCATCCCGGACAGCTGTGCAACATCAATATCTTCTACGTACTTGCTGTCCGGAACCCAGAAAACTGTTGGCTGCTTGTTTTTTACTCGCCAACCACCTCATCCACCATCCCGCCACCTTCCACCCCTCCCCGATCACCACCACCTCCTAGTGATCCACCCTAATTTGAGTTGGATTGTTGAGTATGTTGTTATTTTCCTTTCAAGCGAGTCAGTTGTAATCCCCTATTTGCTTTATTAGTGATAATATGTGGTTTTTTTCATGTGCTTAAGTATAACCAGATTTCTTCTTTTTAGCTCACAGTTTATTGAACTCTTGTATACTCGTGAAAGTTATATAAGTAGTGAGAAGCTTTTATTCTTGCTCATAGGCTAGCTATCAAGCCCCCTGTTATTTTTGTTCTCATCCTATACAAGTCCTTGTTGGTTCTTTTTCATGTACTTAAATATAGCCAGATTGCTTTTGTTTAGTTCACAGTTAATTGAATTCTTGCATACTCATGAAACTTCTAAAAGTGGTGAAAAGTTTTTATTCTTGCTCATATGCAAGTTGTTAAATCCCCTGTTAGTTTTGTTCTCATTCTATCCAAGCTTTTGTTAGTACTTTTAATTTAAGATGCAAGCATAGTTTTATTGTTCATTTAAAGGATCTATTTTTGTTGTTGGTGACTGATGAGCCCACTGTTGGTTTTTGTAGTTCTTCATTCAAAATGACGAATATTGCATTTAGAGTAATCATTTTTGTTCTTAGGTTGTACTTAATAGTTTTTCTTTTCCCTATTTTCATTTTGTCTGGTTACTAAGTTGGAAAAATCATTTCAAATGTGTTAGTTTTTAGTCTTGTAAAACAATTTCACTCGAAATTTTGGTGGCCACTCGACCTTTTTTTCCTACATAGAGGTCATTTATGGGAGTTCTAAGCCTGCCCAACAGCTAAAATCATGCACTATCGATTGTGGGATAAACTTGTCATCTACCTCTCTTCTCTAGCTTTCAGTTCCCTTTTCACGTTCTCACTTTTCATTTTGATTTTTGGCTTGAAAAGAAGATAGTCTTGGATGGAAGTGGGGCACATGCTTCCAGTACGAACCTTTATGGATAATCATCGTCAGCATTTCTCTTATCCCAATCTGTTTTATGCCTGTCACAAAGTTTGTCCATTTTATTTTTACTTTTTTTTAAAGTAGATTTTTTTTTTAAATTTATAAACAGAGACGATATTGTATCCTATTTTTAAAACTAAGACTATAAATCCTAGCATATATATTTTAAAAAATATATATATGCCAGGGTCTCTTAATGTAGTATTGTTGTGTGCTGAAACATTCATGATGGCGGAGGGAGAGAGAGTTTCTCATCTTAGTATTGTAATTGATTTTGTCACAAAATCCTACTATCCTGTCTGTTATTAACATTGCCTATTTATTTTATCCAGAAATGATTCAAACCAAACATCCTTTTGGTGGGGTACTAAAGGATTTCAAAGGTAGAGCTAATTGCTACAAACAAGATTGGGTGGGTGGATTCCGTTCAGGCCTTAGGTATTGCTATAGAATGATTCTTGTATTAGTGAGAATAAGTTTCGATCAATTATTAATTACCTTGTTTATCAATGTCAGGATATTGGCCCCAAGTTTGTTCATCTTTTTTGCTTCAGCCATTCCTGTTATTGCTTTTGGGGAGCAACTGAGCAGAGATACAGGTAGGTTTTCTTCGAAATGAAATGCATGTTTTTATCTTTTAGACTTTAACCTGCATTTACAAAATGGTAAAAGGAGGGCAGTTTTTTTTGAAAATCTTTTACTTTTATTGTAGATGGACAGCTAAGTGTTTTTGAGACCCTTGCTTCGACTTCTATTTGTGGCATCATACACTCATTATTTGGGGGCCAACCCATGCTGATATTAGGAGTGGCGGAACCCACTGTGATAATGTACTCATACCTGTACCATTTTGCTAAAAGGCAGGAAGTTCTTGGAAGCCATCTGTTTTTAGCTTGGGTTGGCTGGTAATAGTGCACACAGAAGGATTGAGATGTACTTATATTTCTTTGGAGAAAAGTGTCAAATGTCCCCGTGACTATATTTAGGGGGTGTCCCATAGTTTATAGAAGTGTCAATTTAGTCCCTAGAATCTCTTAATATGTGTTGAAATAATCTCCAGTAAGGTCTATTTTAACCAAATTAAAATAATCTAGGGACTAATTTAGCATTTTTATAAACTTAGGGACTAAAATGGCTCCCATATAAATGGCCAGGGACTATTTTAGCACTTCATTCTAATTCTTTGGTTACTTTAAAAATCTTAATTTTTCAGCTTATCTCGTGCAGGGTCTGCGTCTGGACAGCTTGTATGTTGTTCTTTCTTGCTATTTTTAATGCGTGTAACATCATTACGCGGTTTACAAGAATTGCAGGCGAACTATTTGGAATGTTGATTGCTGTTCTGTTCTTGCAAGAAGCCATTAAGGTGCATTCAATATTAAATTTATGGGGCATTTACATACATACCACATAATTCTTATGTATTTACATATCATCTAAACTTTGATATCTACGTCTATAACATTCAAAACTTTAATATCATTTGGACGATATCACCATTATTAGCTTTTTAAAAGTGAAATACACCTTTTCAAGCATAGGTTTTGTGACACCGAAATGTTAGAACTGTAAATATCAAACTTTTGGTTTTAGCTATATAAATACATAAGAATTGTGTGGTATGTATTGTAAATTTCCCTAAATTGAACCTATATATATATTAATTTTTAGGTGCTCCATTTTTGCAATGCTTGACAATAACTTGAAATGTTACAATCGCAGGGCATAACCAGTGAATTTACAAAGCCTAATGGTGAGGACCAAAACGACCGGAGGTACCAGTCTGAGGGGCTATACACAAACGGTTTGCTGGGGGTTATTTTCTCACTTGGCGTGCTATATACTTCTATGAAGAGCAGACGTGCAAGGTCATGGCAATACGGAACAGGTTTCTCAGAACACTGACTGAGTCATGTACTGCATTTTTTGAATGAATTTAACGTTGCTAAAGATGTAATCACCATTAATGAATGCAGCCTGGTTTAGAAGCTTGATTGCAGACTATGGAGTACCTCTGACTGTATTGGTTTGGACAGCATTATCTTATGCTGTTCCAAAAGATGTTGCTTCAGGAGTTCCCCGAAGGCTTTCTAGTTCACTCCCTTGGCAGGGTGAATCTTCCCATAATTGGAATGTAGCAAAGGTTTGGCTGAATTTTATGTTAGAATGTATTATATAAGCTAAAGAGATGACAATTTTTTTCTAGATTTACAATGCCTTGCGTGATATGCGATCTTTAATAGCTGGTGGTTTTGGAAATGAAGACCTAATTCTGGCAATGCTTGATTATGAGTTCTGCGGGACTAATTTTGTGTTCATATAACTTGTTACAAAGCAGTTACTTGAAGGAATGTTTGCAGTTCTCAGAAATATGTTTAACGAAAATAACAATTTAATGTTATATTTCTTGACAAAATTTTTTAGATGAAGTTTCTATATGGAATCAACTTTGGATGTATTTGGTGTCCATGCTTCGATGATAAAAGATATAAAATAGCTGGTTCAATAATCTTGATTTCTTTTTAATTGTGGTGGAATTATGTTTGACATTGTTACATTTTTGGGTCAGGTGAACAGACAAGCACCTTTTCACTAATGAAACAGCCAGATGTTTATAAAAATATTCAAAAAGAAAAAAAAAAAGAGAAGAAAATTAAGGCTATCTTACTTTTTTTGTGTGGTTATTTTTACAATGGCATCCTCCAGTTTTTATTTTTTCATTTTCTGATTTGAATATTAAAATGATGACAGGATATGATGCTTGTACCCCCGTTGTACATTTTTGCTGCAATATTACCTGCTTTAATGGTGACAGGACTTTACTTTTTTGACCATAGCATTGCTTCTCAAATGGCTCAACAAAGGGAATTTAATCTCAAACACCCATCTGCTTATCATTATGACATCTTTGTTCTTGGTGTCCTGGTCTGTAGCTTCCCAATTTTGTCTTTTGTATTGCATCTATATTTCAACATTTTGAGTTGTCCCATGATTCTAATTTATGATTGTAGGTTCTGGTTTGCGGTCTTCTAGGAATCCCTCCATCAAACGGGGTCTTGCCTCAGTCCCCTATGCATACAAAAAGTCTGGCAGTTCTCAAGAGGCAGGTCTGCATAAACTAGTTAGGATTCTATTGCGGTTTGATCTAGTAGATGTTTCATTACCATCGTTTTTTCAAGATTTACTTCTGTTTTATAGTTGATTCGCAAGAGGATGATTGAGACTGCAAAGGAAAGCTTACAATTGCAGGCTAGCAATTCTGAAATATATGGAAAAATGCAAGAAGTTTTCATAGAAATGGACAAGAGCAACAGTGTAAGTGCTTTCAATCACATTTTACTTCGTTATTCAATCATTTGTTGCAGTATAGTCACTTCCACATCTCTAATTTTTTATTATTGCATGGTACTTTAAAGAAACTAGTTTGTTTTTCTTCCCTGAATTAGAGGGTAAAACCGAGGTTTTCTTACCTGATCAGTAGCAAGTCTCATAAAGATACCAAGTGGCAAACCAGGGCCTTAACTGCTTCTACATTGTATTTATGTTAGTTAATCTGCAAAATAGAATAATCAGTTTGAAGGCGTACTTGTGAAACCTAATCAAGGATTTTTCTGTTTGAGCATTGAGATTAATCCTTCAAAAGTTAAATCATTTTTTCTGCAGCCGCGAACAGTAGTGAATGAATTGAAGGATTTGAAAGAAGCTGTCATGAGTAGTGAAGAATTAAATGGTGAATTTGATCCTGAGAAGCACATTGATGCACACTTGCCTGTTCGGGTGAATGAGCAGAGAGTTACCAACCTATGCCAATCCCTACTGGTTGGAGTCTGCCTTGGAGCTGTACCTCTGATCAGAAAGATTCCTACATCAGTTCTGTGGGGCTTTTTTGCTTACATGGCAGTAGATAGCCTTCTTGGAAATCAGTTCTGGGAAAGGATTTTGCTTTTATTCATTTCTCCGCGAAGACGTTACAAGTAAGCTTTTCTAATTGTGCCCCTTTAGGAAACAAACATATTCTTGGAAGAACTGTGTGGTTCATTACAGCTCAGTCTGTAATTCTAACCATATTCTTCAGATAAGGTTTAGGTCTGAAAGAATGAGGCATTCCATGAGTCTATGATAGCTGTATGTTATAACTGTTGAAAAAAATCAGGCTGATATAATCAATTCCAAATTCTATACATTGCCATTTTTGCAACTCAGCATGGTTATGTTAATAAGTCTCTTTTTCATACCTGTTTTTAATGAGCCAATGTTATTCACTGCATCACTGTCTCCGTTTTATTTATCTTTGTTTTCTCTTAATTATGTTGGCAGAGTATTGGAAGGAATCCATGCTTCATTTGTGGAGTCTGTTCCTTTTAGGGTTATAGCAGCCTTTACAATTTTCCAATTGGTTTTTCTCCTAATATGCTTCGGAGTTACTTGGATTCCTATTGGAGGAATTCTCTTTCCACTGCCATTTTACCTGTTAATTAGCATCAGAGAACACCTGCTTCCCAAATTCTTTCACTCGCAGCATTTGTGGGAACTCGATGCAGCTGAGTATGAAGAAATTGCTGGAGTTCCTACTCATGATCACAAACTCTCATTTGAGGTACAATATTTCTTCTTGGGAATTTGCTGATCCCATTTATCTCACTGTTGCTAAGATATCCTTAGCTATCCATTAATGTAGCTTCGAAAGTTAAACAACAGCATTCTCACCTTCTGAATTTATATTGATAACCTCTCAATATTAAAACAATTTGGAGCCCTGCACAAACTGTCCTATGCTGCATGGAAGTTTAGATTGCTTAAAGATGGACTAAAATTTTGTAGCAGCTTGACGGAACACCAGTGTCCACCGGCAGCAGCGAGGAATGTCTGGGTGCTGAAATATTGGATGAACTCACAACCAGCAGAGGGGAGCTTAAACTTAGGACAAGAAGCATCAATGAGGAGAGGTTTCTTCAGGCAAGTATCTGCATTCATAGTTATTTAGGTAGTTCATGAGAAAAATACGGAACAAAGAGGGTTTGTAATAGTTGGAAGATTAACATATGGCATCTATTCATGGTTATGATCTTTACCTGAATTTCACTTTTCTGAACAAAATGAGCAGCTGTATGCCAACCCTTCACATTGCTATTTTCACATCTTTTGAATTTATTGGTGACCAAATTTCTGAGCCAACTTCTGTTTATACTTTTTTGTTGAATACATTCGAGATAGTAGCTGACAATGAGTGATGGCAAAGCATTGAGTTCCAGGGAAAAATAAGAAAGAGCTAAGAGAAAGACATACCGTTCATATTAATACTTTTGCTATCTTCTTTCAGAATTTTAATCTGTGAGGTGATGATTCTTTTGAAGGTGTTTGGTGGGACATATTTGAAATGCATGTATCTCAGAAATACGGAGTAATTGAAATTCGAGAGATAAATTGATTGTTTGGTTCAATGTAAATTAGATGCATTGAAGTACTTTTTATATTTGTTAGACTACATTTCAAATACATTAAAATTCCACTCTTATCCACAAGATGGGCTTGTGAGAGGCTGCCGGTGAGGGTTGTAGTAGGAAGAGGCGATGATGCATTATGAAGCTACTTGGGGGAGGCTGAGTGCTAGTTGGTGATCAGAGGTGGGCGCCGATGGCAAGAGGGCCTCATGGAAGTCTGTGGTGATGGATGGCGGCGTAACTGAGCCAAGGCCGATTTGTGAGTTGGCTCGGGCTCGACTCAATAAATGGCTCGCAAATTGAGCTCAATGAGCTAACAAACCAAGCTCAAGCCAAGCCGGCTTGACTCGTTAGCTCGTGAGCTGGCTTGTTTAAAAAAAGAAATAATACAAAATATAATCCAAATATAATAAAATTTAAGATTTTATCTTTAAATTATTAAAATAGTTTAAAATGATATTCTATATTTTATATCAAATGATTTCTTGTTATTTATCTTTTAATTACTCATTTTACTTATCATTTTATTATAATGCCAGTTTGAATTAATATTGTTCTCTCTTTTATATTAATCAAGCTAGCTCGTGAGTGGGCTCAAATTCGTAGAATAAACTTCGAGCTTGAGCTCGAAATCGATTAATTAATTAAGCTGAAGCTTAAGCGGAGGGTGCCTCGAGCTTGACTTGACTTGTTGACACCCCTGTTATTGGATACAGTTGATGTGAGGGCCCAAGGGAGGAAACCACGCGATTTGGAAATCAGTTAATTAAGCTGATTTTCAAATGCAGAGAAAATGGGGCGTTTGGGTTAGTTCCCATATCTCAAACCTTCTACAAAACTGAGCGCCATAAACAGCTAATATGCACGTAAACAGAAGAAGATAACACTTTTGATACAAATTCATGCGTATGACATGCAGTTTATTGCCCCAAGTTCTGCATTATTTTGAGTTTATTTGCTCCTTAAAAAAAAAATAGAAGTCATTGATTAACTTTTTAAGAGTTTTAAATCCAAAAAATTAATCAACATTTGTGCTTGATCATGTGAAAGGCTTAAAATCCCATCATGCCTTTCATCTACAAGTAGAAATTTGCGAGTTTTAAGAAGTTTGCACTCGAATGTTATGATATAGGAAGAGTTACTCTGACCGTGTTAAAAAAATTTAACATTTATATAATAATGATAGTGTTTTATTGTGTGAGATAAATTAGATGTTAATTTTCTTAATGTTTAATAATGGACAAGAAAGCATGATGAATCTCAATACATTTTGAGGAGGAAAATATTCTAAATTTAAATTCAAATCAAAGATCATTTGAGCCCCAATTTCAATTTATTTATAGTCAAATTGAGCGTCTCGGCAAGACGAAAACAATAACATTGAAAATGATTCAATCTGAGTTCAACTAAGCATATATCAAGCACTTGAAGTTTAGTAAAAGTATTTGATGTATCAATTTTGGCATGCTAGTTTGTGGTCAATTCTGATGTCGTTACAAGACTTAAATTTTAGTAAAATTACCCGTGATCAAGAGAATTAATGTGGATCGTCTGATAGAGTGCTTTGGGAGATTGATTGAATACAATAAAATGACCCCCCCTAAAAACTATAAATATGCCCTCATTCTTCACCTCAGAAAAGGGGGAGAAAAATAGATGAGAGCGAGCTGAATACTATAGTTTATCACTTGAAGTCTTGACTACGAAAGTTTACTGTCAACTAGCAGAGATCACCATCAACCATTACCAGTAATTTTCTGCAATCAACTACAACCATTATAACAATCAACTAAAACTTTTGTAGCCAACTGTTGCATTTTTAGCCAACAACACCGTCTTGTAATTTCATTTTTCTTAATAGAAGATTAGAGTAAACATATGTACTTTCAATTTATTAGTGGATTATTTTGATTGGTCTAGGCTCCATGCCTTTTTTTACTTTTAGGGCATTTTCACGTAAAAAATATGGTTGTCCCTTACATTTTTGTCCAAGTGTGTTGAAAATCATATTGAGCTAAGATAAAAGATTTTTCTACAATTGATAATTTTCTAGCACCCAACAGTTTGATGTAATTTGTGGGAATGGTAATCTCGCATTTATAGAAGTGTGAGCACTATTTCAATGGCTAAGAAGCATAATTCTTGTAACTATGGATCCTCCCACTCTAATGTCAACCATTTCAGGGGAAAATCCTGTAATAAGGGATGACAAGCCTCTACATCTTTTTTCCCTGATGGACATCACCCTGCTGGTAAGGATACATCTTCTTTGACTCTAGAAGACAATATACAAAAATGAGGGTTTCCAAAATGAGATTATTAGCTTCTATGTGAGCTCCATAACCAGTATTAGAACAAATCAAAATTCATATACAACAAGAATAACCACCAATCAGAGACAGTGACATAGAGAACGCTCCTCAAACTGTCCCTCCTCATATTGAAGCTCTTCCTCTACCGACCCAGAAAGCTGACCTACTACATATTGCTTGTTTTACACATCCATCTCGTGTATCCAAACCAAATTTAAAACTTCCAATTGCCTTGGAGAATTTAGCTCAACTTCATAATATAATTCATGGTACTATGGATTGTGATTTAAGAAGAATTCTCTCAAAGGGACAAAAGTCATTTTCTTTGCTCAACGTAGCTCTCATGAGTTTTCACCCTTGACTGATAGTACTCCAACACTCAATTCCAATATAATTCAAACTCCCAAATATTGATTCATATAATGGGATATCTGACCCATATGAAAACATTGACCACTATAGAGCCATCATGCAGATATAATAAGAGTATGATAAGTTTCTCAACTAACTTTTTCTTGCCACCCTCAAAGGTCGAGCAAGTATTTAGTTATATTCCCTCTTAAAAAAAACTATTCATACATTTAGCGAACTCACCAAGTTCTTTGTAGAGGAGTTTATAGCAAATTAAAATATTATCAAATTAAGAACCCTTAAGGGCAAGTTACATACAAAATCTCTACTTATTTCACTAGAAGACATGCCTATGCATTAGCCTCAACGGTAAGCTAGTAAATTCTCACTAGAAAGACCCCTTAAAGGCATGTGGCAGACTGTCTCAACGTATATAATTGAAAATATGTCAATGAGGTAGTCTTGATAGAAAACTAGTATTTAGCACAATTCTCATTAGAAATACCCATTGCAAGTAAGTGAGATACACAATATTTACTTATACTCTTGAAAGACACACCCATGAGGTAGTCTAAATGAGAAGATATTAGTGGACACAATCATCATTATAAATACTTCTAGAGGGAAAGTGATATAAAAATTCCCCACTTATACCTTTGGAAGACATGCCGATGAGGTAGTCTTAATGGTAAGCTATTAGCGAGCACAATACTCACTAAAAAGACCCATTAAAAGCAAATGATAGACAATATCTCCACTCGTACCCCTAAAATGCATGTCCATGAGGTTGCCTCAATGAGAAGCTAGTAGTGGACATGGTCATCATTAGAAAGAATCTATGAGATTAAGTGGTTGACAAGGTCTCCATTAAACAAAATTTAGAAAGTTATAAGCCTCAGAAGAAACATGTGCATTAAAAAAAGATCTCGAACGACTATAAATCTCCGAAGTTACATGTACGCCAAAAGAATCTGAGAAGGCTATGAACATGAGAAAATATGGGTAAATTTTAAAAATTGTCAAGAGAATTTAAGCCTCAAAAAGTATATGTACACTTACAAAGCATTAGAAGGCTTAAGCCTAAGAAGAGTTCAATGTTACAATGTTTCCACCGGGGGCAATATCTCAATTGTTGCATGTTTGATTTCTTACAAGACTTATAAAGGTTATATCTTCTCTTGGAATCAAATTATTAGAAATTAACTCTCTTACATGAAGATCAAGGGTTCATCAAGTATTAAAATCACTAATTTTAATAAAGATCTTTCAAAAAAAATCTTATCTTAAAGCAATATACAAAATTATTGATCTACACAAGATCATCATACTCTATAACAACATGACCAAATAATTTTAGGGATCTTTTATGGCTTTAAAAGATCTTGACTTCCATCAGATCATTTTCTTATCAATGAAGTTTACAACATAATTTAAGCATTTGTCTCGAACATAGTTCATTTTAATGAAATCAAAGCCAATGTCTATACCTTCAATAAAGAATATTCTACTTTCACAATGCTATTAATATCACCGATATCAATAATATCAAGCTAAAGATCAAGTTTATATAAAAGATTGCCTGATCATTACATCTTTTAAGGGAAGACCAAAATTTTATTATTATGGGTATCAATCATCTCCTTTATGAGGAACAATGTTTGAAAACAAAAACTCTCTGAAGTTAGGTAGCCACCATTTTATGAATTCAATTAGTCAACAATAGCATAAAGAAATTAAACAACTGTTACATATGGACAACAAAACTATAGTAGATAGAGCAGGTGTGTGGCTTCTATGCCCCTCAAGAGTGGTATTTATAGTTGAAATTTTAGAAAAAAAAATTTCAAAGTTGAAGGGTCGCTCTGCTGGCAAACCCATGGGTGCGTACATGCAAACACACACACACACATACCCACACACAAATAATTTTGCAAATTGCCCCTCACACGCTTGTGCTAGCGCCTACGTGCCCGCTTACATACCCCCACGTGCTCACTCTTTGACATAGGAGTAGATGAGCACACCCATGTAGGTGCACTCGTGCACACCCAAGTGTTCACATGCGCTCTTTGCAACGCTTATGTGCCCTCGCACACGCTGCTACATTCCACTCATGCTAGCACTCTCCTAAGGATCTCGCTACTTTGTCTGGGACACTATTATGTTCATATGCTCACACACATGTACATGTCGATGCACATACATGTGCACCCAGACAATCATGCCTATGAACCTAGAAGCGTACAACCACTGCTAGTAGTGACAAAGACAACATAATCAAATATTTTTCAAAAGTATCTATTGCCATTTTTAATATTGTAGACTCAATTTTAACATTTAAGAGAAATGCATGAAACATCAATGAGTGCATTTGGATAATTTGAAAATATTAAATATTCTCATTCCAAGTAGCTTGCAAATTTCTAAAATATCTAAAATTATGACGAAGACTTATCCAACAAGTTATATTTTTGAATGACACAAGCATAAGTTGAGATGATGTGAATAACCTTTTACTAGGGATTCGATCCAATTAGAATCAAAGCCACACCGTCAAATAAGATTGCACTGATTTGAGAAAAAAATAGAATAAAAAATTCAACAGAACCAAAACGAAACAATTTCAAAAAGAGCACACCAAAAATTAACGTGAAAAACCAAAAAAAGGGAAAAATACCCTGGAGCTATACCACCAAAAAATTTTCACTTGGAATTTCATATATGTGCATAATGCTCACTCAGATCTCCTCTCTGCAAGCAATGGAACTTTCAAAACTTCGCTCCAAACTCTTCATTTCGTTCTTATACGAGAAATGCATGCAAGAATCCTCATTTACAACTTTTCTCACCTTTAAAAGAACCTATATCAAAGAAACACATAAATAGAGTGTGTATATCATCAACCGAATAGAGACTTTAAACCGAATCAAAAGAGTCAACAACACCTGGCACTCGCGCCACTCCTTGGTGCGGGAATGTCGTGCTCCTTATAACTGAGTGAGGGCGCATAAAAAATTGATGTAAGGGTGACATTTGCTTGGGAAGAATTCTTGGATAAGCACAGGCGCACTCGAAACTGGTGTGAGGGGCGTTGTATACCTCAACATGAGTGCACCGCACCATAAAAAAACTCAAGTACGGTCCATGCAGCTAGTGTGGGCTTTAGGGTGATTCTTCAGGCTCCATAAGATAATAACATCGATGTACGAAATAAGGGGCAGTTGATATGCCATCAAGAAATTTTATCATCAAGCACAAATCTTGATGCATTTAGAGCAAGAAATATTTTAAATTTAAATTCAATGAAGATCATTCGAGCACTTACTTTAATAAATTTATAGTCAAACTATATGTCTTAACAATATGAAATCAATGACACTGAAAGTGATTCAATTCGAGTTAAAATCAACCTAGATCAAGCAATTAAATATGTAGTTAAAGGCTTCGGTGCATCTATTGAAATGTCAAATGATTTCAAAATTTAGCACACTTATAATCAAATTCAGCAACATGATGGGAGAAATAAAACGAGCCAATGATGATTCAATTATGACGTTGTTAAAGCACTTAAATGTAAAAAAATTGCCAATGATCAATGAAATTAATATGGATCGTCTTATAAAGTGTTATGGTAGATTGATTAAGTTTACCAAAAATGACCCTCTCAAAAATTAAAAATAGGCTCCCATTTTCCACTTGAAGGGGAGAAAGAGAAAGAAACGAATGAGTTGATTATTAAAGCTTAACTCATGAAGTCTTGGCGATTTTCACCGATCATTAAAGTTCCCATCAAAACACTAAAGTTTGCTGCCGATTATCAAATTTCACCGCTAGATACCAATGATAGCATCGACCACCACCAGTAATTGGTTACGACCAATTATGATCATTATAACAATGAACTACATATTTTGTAGCCAACTACTATTATTGTAACTAGCAACATCATCTTGTAATCTCTTCCTCTCTAACACACAAAAAGAGTCGACCTCTGTAATCTCAATTATCTAATGGATTTTTTAGATTGGGGTAAGCACAATGATTTTTTTCTCTTTTCAGGGCATTTCAACGTAAATAAATCTAGTTGTCTCTAACATTTCTGCCTGTGTGTGTTGGGAAATTATTTTGAGCTAAGATAAAATTTCTCTGCCAATAAAAGTTTTAGCACCGAACATTAATGAATTAAGATACACTAAAGTGAAGGAAAAATTGAAAAGTTTCTCGACATATCTTAATAAAATTTAATTTTTATTATTTTAGTTTTCCAAGAGTAATTAATTCAATAATTGGATTGCTAATTTTAGATATTTTGCATATTTATTTTAACTATATCAAGTGTCAACAATGAGATCAATGAAATGCCAAAAATCCCTAACATAAAATTAAAAAAGTTCTATAGAACAAACTTATTGCATATATATATAAGATAGATAGATAGATAGATAGATAGATATATCCATGGTGGTAGCTTAGTCGCCCTTCAGTTCTTCTATAATTCCAAGAAAATAATGCTGTTTTTTAAGATTAATGAAAACCATAATTATTTTAAACAATTTGAAATCCCTTGCATTTTAAATGCTAAACAAAACAACTCACAATCCTATAAAGATGGGTGAAACACTTGCCAAAGTTGACACACCTAATTATAAACTTAGAAAATCAAGAGAAAAAAACAAGTTTGAAATTTACATGCATATCATAGCATTTCTAACTATAGAGATGTCTAACACTTAAATTTTGATTTTTACTTATCTATGCATAAAAAATAAAAAAAGAACAACATTTCACTTTTTGAAAGTTAACAATATTGATATTTTTGATGTGACACAAAAAATTGAATTTTTATATATATAAAAATCAAAATTTGAATACTAACAAAAAAAATTACATATGAATTGCTTGTATGCATTGCATTGCAATTCCTACATCAAGAGAGTCCAGACTCCATTTATAACATTGTTGTATGCTGTTATACAACATATATATGATAATGTACAACATGGTTATACATGAAGTCTGAATACATCCTTCACATATAATAAATTTTCCTAATCAAAATCTTATGATTGGAGGAGACAGATAAGCACTAAAGTTCAATCTACTCCTACACTATCTCTCACACTTGAATGCCACCATTTCTCCCTCTCCACAAATCACTGACAAGAAGAAGATGATCACCATCTCTTACAAGCTTCAAATCATCAATCTCAACTCCATCCTTCGTAACAACTTTCGAAGCATGAAAACCAAATTTTTCATCCCCAATCCAAAGAAGCTCCTCCATTGATCTCGGAAGAAGCACCAGCTTACTCACCAAACCTCTCTTCTCAGGACAGCTGATCTTCACCCTGAGAGGAAGATGATGATTGTAACCATCAGCATAATACCCATATCCATCCTTCACATAACTTGAGCTACAAGATGGCAATTGATCTTCACTCTTATCATCATGACAATGAGCAGCCGACATTATACCAAGCAATGAGTTACCAAAGCTTCTAGAGTTGTCATTCTCAGGCAACATCGCCGGATCCCTCCCGAATCTTCCAAGTGATTTGTTACCCATTGAGGTGCCGTCTTCCTTCCAGCCGGCGAGGGTGCTTTCATTTTGTGGAGCCTTCTTTGTATGGAACAGGGAGATGATTTCATGATGGCCTTGTTGTTCGGCTAATTCTCTTGGGCTCCAGCCATGGATGTCATGATGGTCGACATCAGCTCCTTGGTCGAGCAATAAGTGGACCATTTGCAGGTTGCCTTCGCAGACTGCAAGGTGGAGGGCGGTGCTCCCGTCCTTCCTCGGCAGCCTCACATCGCCGCCATAGTTGATGATGTCGTTGAGGAGGTCTAGGCTGTTTTGCTCTGCTGCTGTGCAGGCATATTGGGCTACGTCGCCATGAGAAAGGCTTGCACCATTGTCTATCAGCATCTTGATTACAGGCTCATGCTTTCCGAGCACTGCTTCCCATAGCGGAACACTTCCTGCAGAATCTGCGCATTTTGTTGCATTTTGTAAGATGGTTGCATTGTTAAAAAAAAGATTAATATACATAACGTTTAATTCTTATGATTTCACCACTCAAATCTTGTGAATTTACACACACACACACATAAATATATATGTGTGCCACCTCTCATAAGCATGAAAATGTGTTTTTCACTCTTTTAAAGTTAAAATAATGGTATTTTAAGAGTTATAGGAAAGATTTGCATTTTATATATGTAGAAAGGTAAAGATTTGCATTTTATATATTTAGAAAGGTAAGTTTAGGTGTTAGATACGTAAATACATAGAATTGGGTGGTAATATATGTAAATGAGCCATGCTAAAATATTGCGTCTTGTTCTGGCTGCCCAACACTCAGATTGATACAACATAGTCAACATATAAGTAGTTCTATTAAAATTATCATTAATCTATTTGTTTCTCCTTGTCAAGAAAGCATTTAGGATTAGTGGAAGAAGGGATTTGTTTATGATTGATATTTTAAGAATGTAAATACAATGGTTAGGACATATAGTGACATGTAAGATATAGTTTGATTTTCCTAAAACATCCATGGCACACATCTTAATGTAAATAGCTAATTTAAGGTCCAATTTCATTTTCTTAACAACATATCTTATAAGATTACAAAATTCTCACATTTAAATTCTACTTTGATTAATGTCTTTAATCTTCCAAGCTAAATTTTCATGTGTTAATGACAAACCTCTGCTGTTTGGATCTGCTCCATAGTCGAGCAAGAGAAGCACACAATTCTCACTTCCTTTCGACGCCGCCAGATGCTGCTTAACAAATCAAATATGCAAGCAAAAAATGTCATCATTTATGCAATAAATCGGAATCATGATAAAAATCTTAAATTACCAATGCAGTGTGTCCATTGATGTCAGATTCATTTGGATCTAAGCCGCGCTTAAGAAGTTTATGCAACAACAGATCATCCCCTCTAATGACTGCAAAGCGAAGAGAGAGAGGTAAATCCGTTCGACCCCGAGCTAAGGTGTTCTCCGTCTCCCTCGAAATTCTCTCCATGATTGGGTCCTTCTGCTCTTTCAGATACTGAAATGCAAAAAGAATTTTGCATCATATATGCTTGCAAATGATTTCTAGCTACAGAACTGAGTTTTTTTTTTTGGCTAGTTTAGAATTGAACCTGAAGGAGGTTGTTCATGATTACAGTCCCATCTCCTACATTTGACTGAACAATGTTTAGAAAAGAGCTGCGGCTTAACCGCAATAATTGGCACAACCTTCTGGTTCGATATGTGAACAATTGAGGCCTGTAACAAAGTACTCCAATTTCTCCAAAAAGCTCTCCTGCATTTGCCTGTCCAACAACCTGTTTATATGGCCATTATTAAAATTTTTCTGTTTTAAGGCAATCATTTCTAACACATCAGATCTGAAGAATCTACCAAATGTCAAATAGATTGAGAAATTACCTGTTCAATCCCATTCCTGTGATCTATTATGTCCTGTAAAGAAGTTTGACACCTTAGTTTTGGTATTGTGGCATTAAACAGAAGGATGATTTTGTATGTATTGACATGTTTAACGCATGAACTTCAATTTTTACATACATGCCGCCTTGTTTATGCTAATTAAGCCGAGTTGAGTTTAGTATATTGTAGATTGGGCTTGGGTTGTTAATATTATAAGTTGCTTATGTTCGGCTTGAGTTTGTGTTGATGTTTCACATAATGCACAAGATTAGTTTTTGTTTAAAATTTTCAATACTTGAATTTGATTTGTACTTGATTTATTTATATCAAGTGAACGAGTATTTAAACAAGTTAAAATTTTGAACGAGTTTTTAGATTTTCATATAAATTTTTTAACAAAAGATTTTATAAATATAAATAAATAAGAAATTAAATAAATTTTGAATTAATATCTAACACAGATTAAATAAGAAAACAAATATATTACGAGTTATTTTTTTGTAATCAAATAACATAATTGAGTAATAGTGTTTGTGCAACGACGGTTTTAGGCACCAAACATGAGATGGTTGGTACAAAACAAGAGCGGGGAAGTGAAGTTTGCAAGCAAAAGAGATGGGTTCACGATGCTGTATTTTTTTTTTATTTTAATTAATTTAGCCGAGTCTAGTTTAGTATATCGTAGATTGTGCTTGGGTTGTTAATATTATAAGTTGCTCATGTTCGGCTTGAGCTTGTGTTGAGTTTCACATAATGCACAAGATTAGTTTTGTTTAAAATTTTCAATACTTGAATTTGATTTGTATCTATTTATATCAAGTGAATGAGTATTTAAACAAGTTAGTAAACAAATTAAAAGTTTGAACGAGTGTTTAGATTTTCATATAAATTTTTTAACAAATGATTTTCATAAATATAAATAAATAAGAAATTAAATAAATTATGATTTAATATCTAACACAAATTAAATATGAAAAAAATATATATTACGAGTAATTTTTTTTTGATAATCAAATAATATAAATAAGTAATAGTGTTCATGCAATGAGGGTTTTAGGTAACAAAGATGAGATGGTTGGGGCAAAACAAGAGAGGGGAAGCGAAGTTTGTAAGAAAAAGAGTAGGGTTCACAGTTTAGTATTTTTTTATTTGCTGATTTTAATTAATTTCATTGATTGATAAATATTAATTAATAACTATATTATAAACAAATTATAATATTAAAATATGTGTAAATATTTTATAATTAAATAATTTAATTAATTTTAACTAATTATTATATAATATAATAAATACTTAATCAAATAGGAATGGATTTAATTATTTTATTTAAAATGGGTTAAGTAAACAAATAATCAATTTATAATTTTAAAATATTATGGATATTATATTATAACTATTAAATCATAATTAGATAAGTTCTACTTAATCAAATTTTATAAAAAAAATATATTATACATGATATGAACGATCATTGAGTTTAATATTAAGTATTTAACAAGTTACTTACTGGACAACAAACGAATTTGTTAATGAACATAAATAAATAAGTTTGAGAACATTCATGTTCATCTCATTTAACCATTAAGATTTTAAAAAACATTCAAGTTTCTTTATTTGCAAATTTAAACGAACATGATCAAGTTTTAATCGAGCCGAGTTCGAGTTGTTCATCAAGTGCATTGGTTCATTTACAGCCTTACTTCTGCATGAAAAGATATTTTTAATTTTTTTAAGTTAAAATTATGCCCTCAAAGAAGTTGAAATTCTCATCCAGGAAGACTTACCACAGTGCCAGTTACCAGCACAAAAAAATCAGTCGGCGCTTCATTCTGTAGAATGACATCCTCCCTTGGAGGAAAATACTCAGCTTTCATCTCTGACACCTTCAACAAAAAAATTCAAAAAAGAGAATGTAAGTCCCCGAAATTCAACAGGAAGAAAGTACTGAAATTGCAGCAAAAACTCTTACCAACTGAAAAAGCAAATCAGCAGAAACCCCCTGAAACAAATAGACTCTCTGAACAAGATTATAGAAAAGGTAATGCGAGATGCTGGATCTGATCGCTTTCGGAAGCGCATCCAGAGTCTCCTGCTGCTGCAGCCCCTCTGAATCCGTCCTGTACTTCAAACAGAGGTGCGCCAGCATTTGCTCTTGGATCCGCACCGGAAGTTGATTTCTCTGCGCAAATCCAGATGCCGCTCTAATCGTATCTCTCTGCAGCGCAAAACATGCATCAAAATTGTAACTTTTAATCCATACTAATCCTTATGGTAAAGCCAGGTGTGAGATGACTGACAAACTTTCTAGTTCTGCTGGTTCCATGAACGACCAAATTAGTCATGTTCCCAATCAGATAAGCCGTGAGCCCCAAATTGAAGAGCATGTAGAAGATATCGAAGATCATCTCCCTGGTGTTTTGTGCATGCAGGTCTCCATATCCCACAGTTGTGAGGGTGGTGATTGACCAGTACATTGATGTCACATACCGAATCCACAAGCTTCTTTCATGGAAATCCGGCATGGTGGCACCAATCCATGTCATGCTGGGCTCAGGATACCTTGCTGCAAGAAGATAATAGAAGCATCCGGCACAGTGCACAGCGAACAGAGTGACCTGTGAGTCCATAACAATGGCGGTTAAGAAGACGAAGTAGTGAAGTAGAGGGACATAATGTATGTGTTGTTGTGGTAACTTACACAAATGAGCTTTATGCATCGGACCCAGAAGTAGTTGAAGTGTCTGTCCTTCTCCAAGCTGGAAATCAGACGAGAAGAAGGTTAGGTAAATTTAAATGCATACCACGCAAATCCTATGTATTTACGTATCTAACAACTAATGTTTGAAATTTATATTTATATGTATGGGCTATAATTGAATCAAAAACCTTGGCAATAACTTCCAAAGCCTATACTAAACGAATTAGTTGATACTCACAATTATGAAATATTCTAAATATGCGAAAATGTTAAGAGCTTATTTCTAAGCTTTTTCCGTGAGATTTTCCATGGATAAATTTGTAACTTCTATTTTTGTTGGTTGCTCTTCTAACATTTAAACATCATCTCCCATAATTGTAATCTGAGCAATTTAGTGAAATCCACTACGAACATTAATCTCTTAACCTCTAACAACTTCCAAAAAGGCATTTTTTTAAAATTCTTAACAAGATAAACCGTTAACATCAAATGTTCTTAAAAACAAATAAAAAATACAGAGAAAACGCAAACAAGACAACTTTACCGAGCAAAGAGCGAACTGACTCTTCTGAGACGCCATAGCCGAAGCATGTTGAAGAATCCGTAGGACTGAAGCTTTGTTGGCAGCATCCTGCGAATAATTTCTGAAGGTATAATGGACACGAAATCCAGAATAAACCAGCTGGACAAGTACTTCTGCGCAATCTTCACATGATTGTCAATGAAAAGATAGGTTGTGGTCTCAAGATAAGCTACAAAGAAGGTGAGGATAATATCTATTGTGAAGAATACATTGACTAAGTCATCAACGATAGATAAAGGCCGAGTTGGCTTTGAGATGAAACCGAACTCAAATGGAGATACCCATGCGGTATAGATCACCAAGAAAATCAGAAATGTTTCCCAGGCTCTGCAGAAGGTGAAAATTTGACTATTAGATTCTAGCATAAGGCTTTTCATGCATTCATTAATCACCATAATGCTTGAATAAAGATATAGTTGCTTTTATATTAGTTACTAATATTTCTTTTTCCTGCTGCCTTGTTTGTTCTGCTTAACTTGGTAAAATACAAATTAATTAAAACCACAATGTATACTCATTACACTGCAACATTAATTTGACATGACGATTGGGTGAACACAACCAGCAAGACTGAGACTGAATAGAATCATACTCAGCTGTGTAAATAGTTCAATGCAACTTGGGCAGCTCACCCTACGATATGTCGTCTCATCATTGAGACCCACATATGTCGTCTCATCATTGAGACCCACATATTAAAGAAAATATTACATATGTTCACCAGTATGTATAGTGAAATACATCTCCACCGTTCACCATACATACCGGTGAACATATGTAATAGGTAGCTCGCCCGATAGCCAATTTGACCCAGGTGAATTGCCCACCTAGCCAATTTCAACTCACAATTCCCCAGTGCACGCCAAAATTCATACGCTACTGCAAGAATCAGCCTAACAAAGTTTGACAAACATTATGGTCGACATGAGTCAACACCCTAAATGAATGGGGTCAACGGTCAACCCTTCTTTAAATTCTTATGTATCATTATTTAATTTGTCTCATTATAACCTGTGAAAATAACATCCCATTCCTACTACAAAACCTAGAGTGGGGACCCTTTCTTCCTCTCCCAAAAATTCCTTTGTGAACTGCAATAGAAGAGGGCTATCCTCCACTCACTTCCCTTTCTCATCATCAGTTTGCAGGCATTTCAGCCTATGTGGTATACTAACACAAAGCTCTGATTTATGGCCAACACACAAATCCACAACTATAGTGTGCAATTGTTTAATATAAGATTATAATAAAAAAAGCTTAAAACAATATTCATTATCTTTTTTTGGAAAAATAAACCATTATAGCTGACAGATTTTTTGCCGTTTAAAACCAAACCTTTTGTTTTTTAATAATTCAAATTGATTCTAATTACATCCAACCAAATGATTAATCCTGAAAAAAAGCAATTTTTTTAAAATAAGCTTAATTTCAATCTACAAGCAACTAAACAGGCCATACGACAAGCAGAGGAATATCTAAACAAAGGGCTTCAGCTGAAGCAAAAACTAACAGAGACTGAAAATAAGGAGAAGTCACAATGCAACAAAAAAAAAAATCATTTTTTTAAGAAAACTTAGAAAACAAAACCATCACTTTTCTCTCAAAATTTACTCATTAAAAACACCAAAAAAAAAAAAGAATAATTTATATTTCAAAACCAGAACACAGAGTCCATTGCCTCAAAAACGAAGAAGAAGAAGAAGAAGAAGAAGAAGAAAAACAATACCTGTATCTTTTATCATAAGGCGATATAACGAAGGACCGGAGCTTAAGTCTCCTACTTCCGCTCTCCCCCAGCGCCGGAAGCACACCTCCCGTCAAACTATACCGACTTCCATCCCTCGAAACCGCCTCCGCTTCCCGCCCACACATCGCCGAAACAAAAAAAGCTGCCTTTCTCCTACTCTCCATTTCTCCTCACTTCAGCAACTCATCTTCTTCTTCATCTCCATAGCACAGAGAATTCTGAAGAGAAGCAGCTCCAAAACAGCCGCAGTGTTTCCTTTTTTTCCCCCCGGGTTTGAAAGTCTCAGTTTCTCTCTTGGGGAGTCGAGTTTCTCGTGCTTATATGTAGCTTTCGTTCGAAATGGAAACACAGCCCTGCTGCCCGCGGGTTCCGCGAACCTCATAAATGCTGACTGAAAAAAGGAAAAAAAATTACCAAAACCCTTCATAATTCTTATATTTACATTTAAAGATTCTTAAGCTGGGAAATAATTAAGGCTGTTTGCATAGACAGCACCTGAAATATTGCTATTTATAAATGTTGGCTCGAAGAAGAAAAAATTATTTCTAAAAGCCTTCAAAATAGTCATTTTTTACATTTAAAGATTCTTAAGCTAAAAATTCTTATGCTGCCAAATTTGGGCTATTTCCATAAATAGGACCTGAAACTTTGCCATTTGCAAATCTAGCCCCTCATAAATGTTGATTGAAAAAAAGGACAAAAAAGACCAAAAATCTTCATATTTACGTTTAAAGATTCTTAAGCTACCTATATATATATATATATATACATATATATATATATATATATATATATATATATATATCATATCACACACTACTTTTTTATTTCAAAAATTACAACATAGCTAATGCCTAAATTTTAATTTTTATATGCAAGTCATATTATTTATGAATTTGTATTTTATTTTTTTTAAGTTAAAAAGATGATATTTTTTTTCTATGAGATATGAAAATTTTGTGGTTTAATTGTAAAAAGTAATTTTTTTTTGGGGTGTTAGATAAGTACATGAAAAGGAATTGAGTGGTATGTATTTAAATGCCCCTTATTTTTACTTAACTATTGTGTTTAAAATGAAATCTTATCCCTTTTCAAAATTTGTTTTATGACCACATATGGATTATAATGTAATATTTAATAGCAAAAATTGTAGGAGTGGGATTTGTAGAGGATTGCCTCCCTAACATGAAGGACTCACCTTCGAGTTAAATTGTTGTAAAAAGGCTCACAATAATAATAATAATTAAAAAAATATTATAATATTTAAATTACAAACTTTCAAATTTGAAGCTAATTTGGATTAGTTCAACCTTGATTTAAATAGAATTATAGTTCAACCAATTTCTTCAATGAGAAGAATTAAATGACAAAATATATTCTAATTTGAATACATGCAAGCATTTTTTAGCGAGAAAAATGCATAGAAAATTGTGTCTTATGTCTTTCTTTTATTATTTCTTTTCTTATATTTATATATATATTGTAAAAGTTTTCTCTAAAATTAAATGCAAAAAAATTTGTTAAAATTCTTTGGAGTGGATGCCCAAAATATTGTGAATCACCAACAATCATATAAGTATAAGTGTCGATCAAGTGATCTACAAATTATGAATTTGTGTATCTATCTCATGGAGGACAACTTAACCTTTCAAAATAAGAAAAGTTCTATTCTTTTGGTTTTAAGTCTAGCCTGAAGTGTTCAAATTTTTTTGTATTTTAAATTTGTTATTTCTATTTTTTGCCAAAGATTAAAACCTAAGTGATAATTAACTGTGAGGTTTTATATCAATTGAATGATTCATCAATGAATTAGATCTTTGAAATATAGGTTTAACCATGTGATAAAATTATGAGCGACAATAAAAAAACGGATCTCCTACTTATCCCCTCCTTGGCGTCTACAAGGTTTGAAAATCCAAGAGATTTAGCTCCCAAAATCAAATGAATTTCTCAGAATACCATATTTTCTTTTATGACTGCACTGACCTAGAAGCTATACCTCTACTCTCCCATGTGAATGTGAATTGATATATTTACTCCACTAGCCTGTTCCTACACAACTAGATCACAGAACATATTAACATATCAACTGGCCATATTGAGAGTCAGTGAAGAGTGAAAGGTTAAAACATCACCACCACACAACCTCAGTTTAATCACAACATCAAAGTTAAACACAAGATTCACAAATTACTGATTCAAAGGACAAAATGAAATATAATTGCTACTAATGCCTTGAAACAACAAAATAAACATTTCATTATAAAAGCAAAATAAATGCAAGAGTTGAGCAATTATAAAACTAATATAATACACCCTTTATACTTCTATAAATCTTTCTTTCTTCTCTACAAGAGTAGAATGACATACAATACAAATTACTATAGAATCCCCATAACTCCTCACAAAAACCTCCTCTCGCTCGTACAGAATTTGGACTACTTGAAACACACTTGAGAACACTGGTGAGAGTGATGGAGAGAGAGTCTAAACTTCTTCACTCTGCTCTAATTTATCATTCCTGGCCCAAAATGATGTAAATTAACACATCCAAATTGTAATCCCACGCATACACATGCCTTTTAGAGTACACATTCTCAACAAAAAAAAAATTACAATAAAATGACATACGATAAATTTCTTCCTTTCTTCTCTATAAGAGTATAATGACATACAATACAAATTACAATAGAATCCCATAACTCCTTACTCAATTCCTCACAAAATTCTCTCGCTCATACAAAATTTTAACTACTAGAAACACACTGGTAGACACTGGTGAGAGTTATGGAGAGAGAGTCTATACTTCTTTGCTATGCTCTAATTTATCTTTCCTGGCTCAAAATGATGCAAATTGAGTCATCCAAATTGTAATCCCATACATGCCCGTGCCTAGGCGCTAGATTTGACACCTAAGCTTTTGTTTATCTTCTTTTCGGTTCTTGGGCGCCCAAAAATGGCTCCTAAGCACATATGAATCTAGTACAGGGTGTGTGGGACACCTATTTCAGGCATTTAAGCACTTGAGGCTGGTGCTTAGGTACCAGTTCAGCCTGTTGTATGTCTATTTGATTTTCTTTGCTCACCAAGTTGCATAATTACATATACATTGAATATACAATCGTAAAGATCATTAAAAAGTAAGAAAATGACACAAATAATATAAAATAAAAATTAAAAATCATGCACATTTGATGCACATCAAATACCCCCAAACTTTCATATTACTTGTCATCACGTAATTCAATATCAAAAGTTAGAACTTATGAAAATTAATGGTAATTCAAATTTAGGATATCAAGGTCCATTAGTAATAAAGTAATTAAACTTGCAGGATACATAAATCTCTCCTTAAAATTAAAGTTTTATTGAAATCCCTAATTTTCCATTCTAACCCTTATTAACTCACCTTCGATATAGTCAAGAATAAATTAGTTGAACAAAATTGACATAAGCAAAATCTTTCTCTAAAAAAATATATCATTTTATTAGAAAAAACAACCAACCAACATTATTTAAGTTATTATCTTTTTGAAAATCAGTATTTCAAACCTAAAGTTAGAGAGGTTCATGGTTCTATAACTTTTAGAAAGGAGGTTGGCACTAATTGTTAGAATCAAGCATAACCTCAAACTTCTTCTGTAAATCTCAAAAAGATCTTTCTTTTTTCACTAAGGCTTTTCCAATTTTTCTTTTTATTTTGATTTTGTTGTTTTTCTTCACTTATTTTGAAAAAGATTACTATATCTCATTAAACTTTTCTTTAATAGTTTTGAATATCACCTCATCACCATATCCTTATTACACACAAAGTCTAATAATACATATTTCCGAGTCTAGGTCTAAATGGTTCAACTAAACTTCTCCTAAGTTAACTACAACGTCACTTCCTGACAATGACGCTAAAAATTTAATATCAGCCCTAATTTCAAGTGTAGGGGTCTCACGCAAGTGTACTTGTTGTATCAGTAATATTGGATTTTGAGTCCAAAATATCGATCCACTGGGAGTGATGGAATTAGACTTAAGAGAAGTCATAACCTACTAAGTTTAGTTCTTAGCCTGGAATTGAAATTAATTAAAGGTCCTACAAACTACTCCTACTGAAATGCAATCTAGTTTACAGGTTAACTCCTACAAGGATCTTACTTATCCTAACTGGTTTGGTGATAATCAAGTTATAAAGCCACCTTCCATTGCAAAAGCTTAAGTGGTAGTGTGGAAAATGTTAAGTGTCAATTGTGAATGTGGCTAGTGACAAATAGAATAAACTCTCTTCTTTACCCTCTTCCGAGAGCATAAAGAAGTTTAGTTAAATTTGTTTTAATTTCTTAAAACCCAACTTGAACCCATCAAAGACTATAACCTTAACATTTGTATCTCTTTACAAAGTGCTTGCACTATACCCTATAGATCAATGTGAATAGCCTAGTCGTTCTACCATAGCTCTCCTGAGTTATTATGGATCACAACACATTTTAACTAATAAATTTGCTAGAATGAAAAGTAAATGAAATTCAAAAAGTTGCCCATTACACTCAAGATTAAAAACCAATTTTTGAAGCACTTTGCACTCCTATGCAACCTACTCAACCATTACAAGGAAAAGTAAAAGAGATCCACTCAGAAAACTTGAAGAACACACCACAAAGCACAATTTGAAACAAGAAAATCCAATAAAATAAAATATACAATACTTAGTTTTTTTTCTCTCCTTACAAAGCTCTAAAAATGCTCTTACAAGGATTTCCTCCTCCCTTGCTGCTTTTCTGAACACTCTCTTTACAATTCAACTCAAATTTCTCACCAAATGCTCAAGGAAACCTATCCTATTCCTTCCTACAACAACCCCTACTTTCTCATTCACCAAAAAACTTTTTCTTCCCCAAAGAGCTCTTTTATCGAGTTGAGTAACTCCTCACATTGTGTATAGGAACTGCTGAAAACTGCTCAAACAGTTTTTGGTGCCTAGGCGCCACGGGGCTGGCGCTTAGGCGCTAATCTATCATACTACATAATGTGGTATGAACACATATGAGCCCAATAAATTTGGCGCCAAGGTACTAGTGAACGGACGCCTAGGCTCCCACTGGCTGGCGCTTAGGCGCCAACCTCTCGAGTTCCCAGGTATGGGACTGGCGCTTAGACACCTAAAAAATCAGACGTCAAGTCGCTAGTGAACTGTGTCCTCTTTAGCTCCAAGTTACCTCAACTTTTCTCAATTTCATCTTCACTTTGCTCCACTTCTAATACTTATTGTACATGCAAAAAATACATA